TTTTTTTTTTTTAAGTTTATCTATTTTGAGAGAGACAGAGACAGCATGAGTAGGGGAGGGGCAGAGAGGGAGAAAGACAATCACCAGCAGGCTCTGTGCTGCCAGTGCAGAGCCTGACACGGGGCTCGAACCCACGAACCGTGAGATCGTGTGACCTGCGCCGAAACCAAGAGTCGGACACCTAACTGACTGAGCCACCTGGGCACCCCCTCACTTGTAGTTTTGTAGAAGAGTTGATATATGTGGTTTTGTGATCTTTATATGAACACTGCTTAAGAGTCCACGAAGGGATGGGGGGGATTAACATTTTCTGGGGTCCTGCTGTTGGCCGCTGCATTTTTCAGTCTCATTTAGACTTCACTTCAGTCCTCGGGGCAGAGGTTGCTGTGGACTACGGCATTTTTGCATTAAGGAGATGGGAACTTAAGAGGGAGAACATGTCTTGCCCAGAATCACATCCTACGTGATCGATGGAACCAGGCTCGGGCCCTGCTATAGACCCTGCTATAGACACTCTGCCAGTGTCGAGGGTGGAGATAGCAGATTATCGGGCTGGGTCTAGATGCTGGATGTGTTTTTTAAATGGCATGTAATGTGTGCACATGTTTTTTAAAAAAAAGAACAAAATGAATTAGAGTGGGAAATAATTCTGTCTCCTAATTCCATTCCCCTGCCCAGAGGCCCCTCCCACCCCCCCCCCCCATGACCAGTTTCTTTCAGAGTTCTCCAGTACAGGTTTACGTTTATATTTTTTTAAAAAGCACAAATGATGCAAACTCCACACTGGTCTGCATCTTGCTTTTCCCACCTAGTAATATTTTTTGAAGATTGCCTTCCCGCAGCGCATTTAGAGCCACCTCATTCTTACTAATGACTGCCTCGTGCGGATGGACCGTCATTCACTACTGAAGCAGTCCCCTGGGGGTTGAGTTTTAGGTGGTTTCCAATCTTTGGCTGTTATAAATAACACGAGGTGGCTTTCACACCTTTAAAAAAAAAATAATGTTGGCACACTGTATGAAAACATTTACAGTAGCACCCAGTCCTCACTGGTAACAGAAGATTCTTGAAATCCTGCTTACCCTCGCTAGAGGTGATGCACTCTTGGTATTTTGTATTCCATTCAGTTCGGTTTCATTTTCTTTAAAAGTTCTGGCCAGAATCCCCTCAATTTATTTCATAGACCCCCTAGTGGGTCACATCCTGCGGTTTGAACATATCGCACATACTTTGTTTTGGGTATAAGTGTATGCGAAGTAAGTTGCTGGAACTGATTGAAGGTTCTGTGCGTTCAGTACTTGTGTAGATGTTGGGGCGCCTGGGTGGCTCAGTCGGTTGAGTGTCTGACTTCGGCTCGGGTCATGATCTCGCGGTTGACGAGTTCGAGCCCCGCGTCGGGCTCTGTGCTGACAGCTCGGAGCCCAGAGCCTGCTTCAGATTCTATGTCTCCGTCTCTTTCTGCCTCTACCCCACTCACAATCTGTCTGTGTCTCAAAAATAAATGAACATTAAAAAAAAAAAAACATTATGTGGATGTTGTTAGATTACCTCCCATAGAAATTGGACAAATGTGTTTCCTCCCCTTGCTTCTGGTGAGACCTGCACCCTGTATGAGAAATGTAGGAGGGCTTGTGTCCCTCCGCCTCATCAACACTGTGTTTAGCAGGCTCGTGGAAACCTCTGTCCCAGATGGGCCACGACGGTCTCTCGTTAACGTGTAACGTATGCGCATTGTGTTTTGAGGGATCCCTGTACCATTTACTAAATTTATCTTTTCCTACATGTTTGAAATATACCAGATTAGCTTATGCATTTTGGGTCTGTCGATCTGCTCTCTGTTCTCTTCCCATACCAGAATTAAAATATGTTTCAGTGTGGGGTAGGGCTGGGCCCCTCCTCCTAACCCTCTTAGCATTTTTATGGCTCTCCTCACCCAAAACGAATGCATGTGTATTTCTCTTTTTCACATTCTCCTCTGTTGTCTTTCGCACACATCCCAAAGTCTTCTGGCCGAAGTCCTTATTGCTGCTACCTGGTGCTTTCTGTGACGGCAGAGGTTTGTACAGGAGCACAGGGGCTTGCTGATGCGTGACCACAGACCGGCCCTGTCAGCTTGTGTTTTGGGGCCTCGCCCTACCCCGGATGTGGAGCTGGGTCCTTCCATTCTGCAAGGGTGCATTCCAGGGTGGCGGGCCCTGTGAAACCGTGCCTTCAGACCACAGGGGTTCCTCTGTAGTGAATTAGAAGAGCAGAGCACCCCGCCCGTGAGGGAGGTGATCTCCCGGAGCTGACCGGTGCTGTTTATCCAGCGGTGACCAGTTGAGGTCTGTGCTGCGCGGGGCCCCGGTTTCTCCTCCCTGGAGTTGTTTAATCAGGCATCCTAGGAACAGATTCGGGCAGGCATGATCTAGTTTGACGACTCATTAGCCGCCGGTTGGTCCAAAATACTGTTCAGAGGGAGAGAGTAAGGCCTGCGTGTGCGATACATGATTCAGGGAATTTGAGAGGCGTCCGATGAGGATGCCAACCCGTCAGTTGAAAAGCCGGCCAGGGGTGTGCCAGGGGCTCCTTTCATTCCGGGTTGGAGCACAGGGAACTCATTCGACCGGGCGGTGTCCGTCACTGGGCGCCTCACCCAAGCGTGCTGGGCCTCCTGCCGTCTTCCCTCCCTGGCAGAGACCCCTCCCTTCAGCTGTCCGAGCACCTGGAGACGGCTCAGCCCCCGGGGTTATCGGGCCGGCCATCTGCGGAGGCGCCTCTCTGTGAGGCCTGCACTTGAGGGGCTGTGTGGGGTGGGATCATGTTCCTGGAATGAGGGGAACAGCGTCAGAGGTAGTGGGGGCGGTATCACAGCCACGCATGAGACCGTGTGGCTCGGCCCTGAAAAAAAAAAGAACTCACATAGCAGAGCCTTGATGCAATCCTTTTTGGATTTCTGAGGGGAAAATTTAAGGTCGGTAGGAGGGACGGGCTGCGGTTGCATAAGTTTAATTCTTATTTTCAAACCGCTAATCTTCACACAACGGCTGAATATGGCAGACTCTTCTCCAAGGCCCCAAAAGATTTCTTTGGTGCCTCCGCCCTCTTGGCTCTGGACCGCTGCTGTTGTCATGTTCCTAAGCCTCGACAGCAGTTGTGGCCGGCCAGTCGGCCCCGGGGCTCGGGGAGCTTCGAGCTGGACTCTTGCACGGGCCGCACCAAACTGAGCCGTCGCCGCTCCTAGGACTCTTGACAGTCTGGAGACCTCCATGTACCCCGGGGTCAGAGTGTCGCGCTCTGTGCTTTCTCCAAGCTCCCTGCCAGCTCAGTGGAGTCAAAGGCGCATTCCTCTCCACCAGCCCCCTGCCTGGATCATTTTTAGTTCTGGCTATTTGTGTCTGCACTTTATTTACTTCTGTGGGATGCCACTGTCAGGTTCCACAATTCCTTGTAGCCCTTGAAGCCCTTGTCCTTTTCTTCAAAGAAGTTCCCAGGTGACGCTTATTGTCACGGTCTGCCAAAGTGACAGGTTCAGGTTGACAGGAATGGAATCTGGGCTTAAGCTTTAGCAGAGGTGGCAGGACGGGCCAACCGCGCAACCTCTTGAGTTTTTAAGATTTACCCACCCTGGCGGTGGCTTGGCAGGTGCAGGCATTCCGGGGAAAAGCCTGCTAACACGTGGCTGACTTTCCCCTTGCCCGGGAGGCTCGGAGCACTATTCAGTCCTGCTTAATTAGTAAGTCCTGCCTTCCTGCTGGACTCTGGAAGCTCTCAGGCCAGGCTGCCTGTAACCTATAACCAGTACCTCCCGGGTGGGACTCCGGGGTCTGAGGCCCCTAAAGGGGGCACAGGACTAAGCGCTGATAAGCCTGGCCGTGTGGCTCTCAGGAGGAAAAGCTGTTTCTGGTGAGCTGCTTTGACAGGTCCTGTCTTTGGGGTTCCTGTGCGGTCAGGAAGAGGCCCAGTCTCGGCTGAGCAGCCAGAGTGTTTATGTGATCAGGTGCGCAGGATAATGACATGCCGTTCATGATGCTAATTTCACTTTCTTTGATCGGGCCATGAATTCCTGATGCAGACCACCCAGCTCACTAGCAGAATGCGCGGAGCTCAGAACTAACCAGAAGGAAGCCTCCAGACTTGACTGTTAGAAGATGGTCGTGCACTGCGCTGGAAAGGGAGAGTAGTTTTAATATTTAATAAGCGTCGGTATGTAAATTTTATGCTGACAGATGAACTCTGAGTCACAGGGTCTGTACATTTAATTACAGAAAAGGATAAAGTGGGTGTGAGCAGCGAAACCTCCCGTAACTCTGAAATCTCTAGCAGGAAGAGCCTGTGAGGGAATCAAAGGGGACCAAGCACGAATTCTGCATAAACGAGGGCTTGGGGAGCCATTAGCATTCTGGGTGGTTGAGGGAACTCGATCCTCGATCCCATCCTCAGGTTGGAGAGCACTCCTTGCAAACTGCCGGGGAGAAGGGGAGAAGTAGGTAATGAGCCTTGCTCCCAGGTGACCTGCGGCCCCCCCGGCCCTGGGGGAGCCCAGCAGGTGGACAGGCTCTTACTGTGCCAGTTCGAGAGGCTGAGGGGGGGGGGGGGGGGGGGGCTTGGATTCCAGGGAGCACTTCTTCCCTCTTGTCTACACTCCACGGTAGCGAAAACAGCTGCCCTGAAACAGGACGGCTTGGAACACTTGGCACCTGCAGTGAGGTAGTTGGACAACTGACAGAGGTTTCCAGAGAGGGGTGGGATGTGGGGCTGTCCCCACATCCCACCCGGCCCTGCCCACTGACAAGTGTGCCAAGGACGTCACCGTGTGGACGTTCGGCTCGGGGCAAGCTCCCAGGCTGGCAGTGCCTGTGCTCCCTGGCTCCTCCCAACACCTTCGTGTACCCTGAGCACACTCAGAGTCAGGTTCTCGGTGGGGCCTCCTGGTGGGCCTTCTCCTCACCCTGAAAGGTCCTGCCATTGAGGGGCACCGTCTTGCAGAGGGACGAGTCCCCCAGAGCTAGAGGCTCTTTCTCGACAGTTCTTGGGTTGCTCAAGAATTTTGTTTCGCTAGGATTGCAACCAAAAGATTGTAAATTACAAACCCCTAAGTCAGAGTTGGCCACTGGCTCGCCTGAGTTTTAAAACTCTGTCATCTCCCCAAGCGAGAAAGAATCCTATTTACCCTCTCGAGGGTTGCAAATGGCATCGACTCATGCATTCGTTAATATTTTCTTCTTTGAAAATACTTTAATTCTTTCCTATGACAAACTTACAGAAAGTGGTGGGGAGCCTCCCATAACCGACAGCCAAGGCCTTGGGCTGCTGTGTGCTTCAGGCTTTTTCTTCCTTTTTCTGTTTCCACCCCACCCCCCTCTTCTCTTTTTAGGTAATCAAGATACTGCAGCTATAGGTGACTCCTGTTCCCTTTTCGTCTTCCTGCCCCAGGCATCACCCACCGCTCTTTCAAACCCGCGTTCCTCCTCCGTCTCTGTAGTCAGGGCAAGTCTTACGAACACCTAGTCGTGATTTTTAGTGTCCTTTCCCCCTTCCCACCCTCGCTGGCTGCCCTTCATGAGCTGGTAGGTTCACTGATCCCTTGTCTGCCTGGAGCCCAGATGTCCTGTGTGGATTACAACGTGGAATCGTTTAATGTGGAAGCACTCCCTCACCGCCTCCCTGAAACGAACAAAAAAAAAAGGAGAAGAAGAAAGATAGCTGTCACCGTCCACTGCTTGCTGTCTGTCAGCTGCTCTTTTCCTTTCCTTTCCTGTGCGTTCAGACGAGAACCACACGTGGACGGGTTGTGCGCACTCGTGTCTATAATCCTCTCTCGTCCCTTCCCCACGGCGGAGGAGGCTGTGTGGCCCTTGTGCACCCCCGATCCCATTCCTGGCATGAGCTGACCAGGGGCACCCATGGTGGCATCCAGCTGGGGTTTGCAAGCCTTGGCCTCCGGTGCTCCTTAGCCCAGATCGAGGGAGTAAGAAGGAGAAAGAGATTTTTGTTGTGTTCAGTGATTTCCATCTCGGGTCACCGTTTAGATCTGGGTAATTATATAACTATAAGTAATAATTCTAGGTTTCAGGTAATAAGCGTAATTTTAAACAATTACTTTCTTGGGGTACCTGGGTGGCTCAGTCGGTTAAGCGTCCAACTTCGGCCTAGGTCATGATCTCACAGTTCATGGGTTCGAGCCCCACATCCCGCTCAGGTTTTGTCTCTCAAAAATAAATAAACGTTAAAAAAAAAAAACCTAAAAACAAAAAAAAACCTTTCTTTCTTAGTCTGCAAATACTAAGTTCTGCTCTTCGTTAATGTAATCAACAGGCATTTATTTAGTGCCTATTATGTGCTCATTTCTTGTTCTCCACACTGGGGATCCAGGATAAAAACAGACCACTTAGGGCTTTGCTCTCAAGAAGCTGACATTCTAGAAGGTGTTGACAGACAGGAAGTAATCCAGCAGATAAACAGGGACCGATCAGCCAGCGGTAAGTACAATGCAGAGAAGGAAGGAAGGTGATTTGATGACTAGTGCTGGGTGATGACTAGGGCCAGTGGCACAGTGACAATGACATTTACCCTGGGCTCGGAATGGTAAGGGAGACCCAGGCGTATGATGATTAAGTGGCCGAAGGATTTCAGGCAGAGGGAGCAGCAGGTGCAAAGGCCCTGAGGCATTTTATTGTATCTTTCTGCTTCGGCAAGTAAATTACAGCAAGTGTCGAGGAGCACAGTCGAAGTGATTTTCTGCACACTCACTTAGGCTCAGCAGAGTTGTCTGGGTGTGTGTGCGCCCGTGGGCTGAAGGCTGTGCTGTCTCTGTTTCCCTCAGCTCTACGTCTCCTCAGAGAGCCGCTTCAACACTTTGGCGGAGTTGGTTCATCATCACTCGACTGTGGCGGACGGGCTCATCACCACTCTCCATTACCCGGCCCCCAAGCGCAACAAGCCCACCGTCTACGGCGTGTCCCCCAACTACGACAAGTGGGAGATGGAGCGCACGGACATCACCATGAAGCACAAGCTGGGAGGCGGCCAGTACGGAGAGGTGTACGAGGGCGTGTGGAAGAAATACAGCCTGACGGTGGCCGTGAAGACCTTGAAGGTAGGTCTGGGGCTGCCGCCGCGGCTCGCGGCTGAACACGGTTCGTTGCTGCCGGTGGGCAGCCCAGGAAGGGCCTCGGCCGACCTCTTCCGGCGGGTTCAGTCCCCCTCCCAGACTCCGTGCCTCCACGTAGGGTGAGTGCTGAGGCACGCTGTGGTTTTTGGTGTAAAAAGATTAGTCATTCGGAGAAGTTTTTTCATTCCATGGCAAGAATCTTTTAAAGCCGTGGGTTTCCGTTCTGTCCGTGTGGCCTTTGAATCACTTCCTGTTGAGAAGCAGAAGGAGGGGAAGAGCTGTGAGTTTTGAAAGAAGGGGATTTAACCAAAATGCGTTGGACTCTGCAGTGGACGTTTGTTGGCAGATCTGAAAGGCAAGCGTGTTGGGCGTTCCTGGCAGGTTCCATCCAGGTCGGTGTAGTGTGAGTCCTGACTGCTGGAAATGGGAGCGGACGAAGGCATGAAGGGAACGTCAGGGCTTCTTACTCGGGTTCCACGCCATCGTTCTCTCTAACGCATGGTGTTCGTAGTTTCTGGGCGGGGTTTGAAGTTCTTTGAAACCTTGAGGCCAAGCAGCGGGTTTCATCCGGGCCCTCGGCCTTCAGGATGTGATCTGAGCTTTTTACCTGTGGCCAGAGCGTCCCCTAGCGTTGACCTGTGCCATTCGCACTTGCTGTAAGCGAACCGATTGCCCTGACAACCAACCACGCGGAGGCTGAGGGGAGGCCCCTCCTGTAGCCGTTGGAGAAGAAGAAGAAGGGAAACACCCACGCGGCTGGAGGAAGGGACCCCGGCGCGCACGCGCTTCTCAGGAGCCCGTCGGGCACGTGCTTGGAGACCTGGGTAGCCAGATCGCTTGCCTTTCAGGGACTCTGTTACTTACCTGCCGCCTGTACTCAGAGGTGCAGCAAAGTGGAAATTACAGTTTCTGACTTGTGTAAAGTGATGCTTCAGAGAAAGACTCGCAGTCTGCAGTTCTAGAAAACAAGGGTGGCTCGTGGCGCTCATATTGAACGTACCCCGTTAGATCAGCCCTTGGAGCAGGACTGACGCTTGTGTGTTGGGGGGGGCGGGTAGCATGGTTTGGGGTCACTTGAGGACTCCCGGATACTTTCCAGACATGATTTTTTAAAAACTCAATAAACACTTAGCGAGACCCTCGCTTCTGCTTGCCAGACCCTGGGCTTAGCCCTAGGGTTTTAAGAATATAGAGTTCTGCACCTCAGGCCAGCCTAGGTAGGTAGAACAGCACAGTTAGGAGGAGAGACGGGCTATGACAGAACCTGCAGCGTGGGGTGACCGGGGCCCGAGGCAGGAGCGAGGCGCCCTCACACCGCACAGGCATGAGGTGGCGGGGGGACTGGTGAGCTCCCCGCGGTGGGGACAAAGTGCAGGGTGGGTTGGTGCCGGAGTGGAGGAGCGGAGGCCTGGACAGAGGCGGAGGGCATAGAGCCCACGGTAGGTAAGTCACGGAGGCTCCGGAGCCGGGGACATTCTCCTGGCGGCAGTGGGGCGCAGTGACGGGTCTGATCCGCAGGAATAAGGTGATTGGATATGCGCTGCACCGGCCGCTGCCCCGTCCCCCCCACCCCCAGACCAGGCAAGTCCAGGGAGAGGCGTGTGCTTGTGCTCAGTGTCCCGATCTGGCACAGGGCTGAACACCAGGCCGGCCTCCGGGCCTTGACCAGCTTGAGAAACCGTTAAAGGCCCGGGCATCACCCACACGCTCGCCAGTATTTGCACACGTGAAACAAAGAGGAACAAAAGCACAAAATTCCTGGTTTCCACCCAGCAAGGCTTGTTTGAAAACGTTAGAAAGAGGGAGAGTTTGCACTACTCGAAGCGTGGGGAGGACACAGTCCAGCAGCTGACGCTGTGACATTGGTTCCTGAGCCGCCGCCAGGGAGTCAGGGCAGGGCGCCTCCCGGAGGGACTTGTCTGGCAGCGGTGGCTTTCTTGTACCCGCAAATCAGACTTATCGGGAAGTTGGGTGCCTTTTGGAGTCTATTTCTCTAATGATACACTACTAAACTTTTTTTTTTTTTATACTTCTAACGGTTTTCCCCAAGAGCCTTATTAACTTACAGTCCTACAGCCGGTAAAAAGGTACAGAACCTAGTTGTGTGGATTTCTCGGAGTCGTCACCCCAGGTGATAGCTAATTAGGGAAAAGGGAAGGTGTCAGATTCTAGAGATGTATGTCAACCCGAAATACAGCACTGGGCAAGTGCTAAGTAAATTATCCCTTCTTCCTCCTCCTCCGCATAAGGCACATCTCTACAACAGGGTTCCCGCTTGTCCAGTAAAGATTGATAGCACTCTTTGGGGCATTTATCGCCCCTGGAGAGGTTGAGAACCTTGAGTGGGTTCCAAATGACAGTTATGGTTACTGTTCATTGAGCTCTTACTATGGGCCTGCAGTCTGAGCGCCCCGCTCCGTGTGTAGCATCTCACTTAATCCTCACAGGCACCTTGTAAGGGAAGGGCCCACCTGTCACTGCCATTTCAGGCTTGAGGAACGTGCAGTGCGGGCGGGCCAGGCAACTGGCCTGGTGTTACCCGCCGGGGAGCCGCAGACCCGGGGTTCCGGCCCAGACATCCTGCCCCAAAGCCCGGCTCCTTTCTTCTCCTCCTTTCCTTAATTGTCATTCCAGTTCTCACCCCTCGCACACCATGCAAAATACGTCAACCACAGTCATGCGTCTTAGACGTCTCCCATCCCCGTCCCCTCCCCCCACCCACTTCCCCTCGGGTGGCAGCTAGATCTCCCTCGCTCTTCAGGACGCCTTGGAAAGCACTGGCAGCTCTTTGCACCAGACCCCAGCCGGGCACCTGAGTCTCAGTCTGCTCTCCACCATCCCCTGGTCCGTCCCATCCTGCCTGTTTTGTGTCGCTGGCCCCTCAGAGGGCAGAGGCAGACCCTCTTGAAGCAGCAGGGGGTGGCAAGACCCTGCTTTAACCCGGACTCTGTGTTGATCCACCAGGCAACGTTGGGTCCTGTACCTTCAGGGCCGGAGACCAAAAAACGGGAGACAGGAGGGTGCTAGGCTGACCCCTGTGGGCGGGAAACTGGAATTACAGCAAAGGCCACCGACCGGACCTGCTGGTTTGAATTTTGACATCATTCACCAGGTCCTAGGCTTAACTTTACCTGCCTGTGATCAATGCTAAAGGTGGGATGTGCCTGAGAGAAACAACCGTCCAGTACAGGGAAGTCCCACGTTTCAAATGAGCTGTATTCCAGAAGTTTGTTTATGAGCCCTCCTTTTTTTCCTATGAAGCCGTTCTGGAAGTCCTAGGATCGGGGAAAGGCTGCAGCTCTCGATCTAATGTGGCATTAGGATTGGCTCCTAAGCTCCTGACAGACTTACCGTTAAAAAAGTGGAAGATAACGTTGATGAAAAATGTTAAGGCTTAAATTCTTTACCTGTTTTTCGAATAGGTAACGTATGCACACAGTATCCTCCCCCCCTGGATTTTTGTGCCCTTCCAGAAGTAGTCCACGTGTGGGTGTCCCTTCTAACCGTAGGGCAGCATGCTGTGGACACTGCCCTGCACCTCCTAGTGTCCACCCCACGTAGCTCAGCACCCGTTCCACATCCGTATACGTACGGGGGTCTTGCTTTCGCGTGGAGGTCTTCCAGCGTCTAGCAGCCTTCAGCGGGCATTTGTGTCCTTTCCCGTACTTTGCTGTTACGGACCGTGCCCCAGGGGTTCTCCCCGTTGGCCGTGAGGAGACTGTCCCGGTGCCAGTTTGCGCGCGGCTGGCCGTGCTGAGAGGGTGCCTCCGTTGGCCTCCTCCGCCAGCCTGTTTTGGTTGGGGTTTTGTTTGTGGTGCTTTTCCCCAGGCAGTTGGTTCTACTAGGGAGCTGCAGAAATGAGCAGGGAAGCCAGGGCTCCAGGATGGCCCTGGACGGTCGCACGCGCTGGCTCTCCGACTTCCGAGGGGGCTGGGCGTCAGGGAGAGAGGCCGCGCGACCTGGAACCCACCGTTGCGTGCTCTCGCGGCGGGCTCTGTTCTGGCCGTGGGCTGGATACGCCTGCGAACCCGAGGACCCGAGTTCTGGGGGCTCGGTGGGCGGTTGTTTCCGCGGATCTGGCGGGTGAACCGCCTTCCTCGGTCCGGCTCTGAAGCCCGGCCCCATCTCTGCAGCCCCGTCTCTCACGGGTGCAGGATGCTGCTTCCCTGGGGTCGTAACCTTGCTCCCCTGACACTTGGTTGAGAACCAGGGAGCGAGGGGGAAACGGACCTCTTAGCCCCTCCCCCCGGGGACTTGGTCCCTGCTGAGACTCAGGGAGGCACCCGTGGGACACTGAACCGCCGATGTCTCCGTTGTGCCGGAGAATACCTTCACTTGGGGGCGAGGCCAGGGAGCAAAAAGGGTGAATGAAGCTGGTTAGAGAACCAGAAAAACAGAAGATGTTGGGTCCGGAGAGTGCCTATCTGAGAAAGACAAAAACGAAAACACGGAGCGATATTAACTAAAGACCCAGCCCGTCTTTCCTACAAGCGCTGTGTTTAGCCGGCTTCTCAGCCGTGTTCGTTACAGTAAAAGTGGGTCCAGCCGGCTGAGTGCTGCCCACGTCTGGGCGCGGTGCTCGGGACTCTGTGCACGAGGCAGATGCTGCTGTTTTCCCAGTGTGTAGACGGGACCTTGTTCAGAGACCTCTCTTCTCTGGCGTGTGAATAACTGAGCTCTGTACGTGGTCACACAGCGGCAGGGCTTGGTCCATGTAGCTCTGAAGCCGTCCTTTTAACCACCCCTGTACCGGCCAGGCCTTCGTGTGCATCTGGGCCAGGCCAGTCAGTCCCCATGAGGAGAGCCGGCCGACCCACCTGACTTCCAACGGACAGGGCCGAAACTCCACGTTCACTCAGTGGTGCTTTCACCCTAATTATCTGTGTTAATTTTACTCCGTACATGGGAGATGTCTCTTTGAAAAGATGACGGAGGGGCGCGTGGGTGGCTCAGTCGGTTGAGCATCCGGCTTCGGCTCAGGTCATGATCTCGCGGTTTGTGAGTTCGAGCCCCGCATCGGGCTCTGTGCTGACAGCTCAGAGCCTGGAGCCTGCTTCGGATTCTGTGTCCCCCTCTGTCTCTCTGCCCCTCCCCTGCTTGCGCTCTGTCTCTCTCTGTCTCTCAAAAATGAATAAATGTTAAAAAAAAAAAAAAAAAAGAAAGTGTTTAAAGGAAAGGAAAGGACCATAACAGGATAGTTTCCCGTTTAACACAGCTACTAGAAGAGAGTGCTGCTGGTAGTGGCAGCTGTAGGTTGAACCCGGCCAGATTCCACCAGGGGGAGACAAACTCACGCCGATTGCCCTGAAAGAAAAAAACAAGGAATTATTTATACCATCCACACGTGTGTGTGTGAGTGTGTAGGAATGAGGGGGAAGACAAAAAGACGGCCAAAAAGAGGAGAGGGATGGCTCCGAAAGCCGTGTCGTTGTTCTCGCATGTCCACGCCTCTCAAGATCTAGAACGCGGTTCTTCTAGAAAAGCGGCAGGAGCTGTCAGAGCCCACGATCTCTGTGAAATGGTTTCACTGTGCGGAGTTGGTTATTGTGGTGCTTGAAAAGAAGGAAAGCTCCACTTGCCCAGAAAGCTGTATTTGAGAGCCGCGTCGTGAACCTCCTGTTGGCCAGGCGAGGCTCTGGAGGCCCCCGGTCCCTACGTGAGCAGCATCGTCTCGGCGGATTCCAGCAGGCTTCCCAGCCTTTGACGGCAGCGCGTCACCCGGTGGATCAGACGCGCCAACGGCATGGTCTGCGGAGCGTGTTGAGGAGCAGAGAGGACTCCCAAGAATCGAACAGCCAGCGGAGCGGTGGCGGGGATGAGTTCTTGCCCCCCGTACGGCTTGACACGGAGACTACCAACGATGTCTCATTGACATCAGAGCAGCCCACGATTTTTAAAGAGCAGCAAATTGCATCTGAGTTTCAGCCTCAGAGAGCCCTAGACTAAGTGATAATGGGCTGACACGTATCCTCAGCGGTCACGCTCCGCCTGTAGACGTGATTGGCCGCAGCGGGAACGTGCTGAGTAGAGGTTGACCTGTCCTCTGGAAATCTCCACGTGCAGGGGCAAGAATGGCGCGGCCACCGGGAGGCTGCAGTCAGGACCCTTTGAGTGCTTTGCCTCCTGAAGGGGCAGGCACGACCTGGAAGGTTCCACCTTGAAAATAAGCCCGATGGGGGCGCCTGGGTGGCGCAGTCGGTTAAGCGTCCGACTTCAGCCAGGTCACGATCTCGCGGTCCGGGAGTTCGAGCCCCGCGTCGGGCTCTGGGCTGATGGCTCAGAGCCTGGAGCCTGTTTCCGATTCTGTGTCTCCCTCTCTTCCTGCCCCTCCCCCGTTCATGCTCTGTCTCTCTCTGTCCCAAAAATAAATAAACATTGAAAAAAAAATTTTTTTTAAATAAAAAGAAAATAAGCCCGATGAAGCTTTCCTCTTGGGCGAGTCTAGTTTTCCAGGCGTTCACGCCCCATCTGCCACGCAGTCTTTCTCTCCGGGCAGACGTGGACTCTGTGTTGAAACTTGGAGGGTGGTGTCCTGCCTGTCTCGTTGGCCTTCGTGGCCAGGCTCTCACACACACACGGGCCACGCCATTTGCCACCCGCTGGCTTCTGGTCGCGGCAGCCAGAGGACATTGGGTTCTTTAAGTCATGAAGAGGTTTGCCTGATGCAGGCCACAGCAAGCCTCCCGTGTAACGGGGCCAGCTGTGGTGTGCGGGGCCAGGGGCAAGGCCCCCTCGAGTTGAGCCCCCACCCAGAGCACGTGAGGAGATGGGGAGATAGCATCACGTTTGCTCTGGGCGTTTGCTAATGTTCTTTGTTTCCGCGTGGCATTTAGATACGGTGAACTTGCTAGAATATGACATCTCTGACGATACTCGTGAATCCGTCGTTAGGGGGGCTGCTAGGGAGGATTATCGTAGAACCCGTAAATCGACCCGGTGGATAGTGGTGGTTGCTTCGTTGAGACCCCCATAGCTCTGCATTTCGGGCATCCTCTGCGGTACAGAGTGTTTTGAGGTGGTGTTCTTCTTTAGGATGGTATCGTTTTGTGTCAGGGTCTCTTCCATTAAAGTGGGTACATTTCTGATTCTTCAGGTGATATATATATATTTTTTTGTAATGTTAAGTGTTTTAGGACTCCTTGGAAACCAGCTCTTCTTTAGGGAAATAGAACTATCCTCTGCATAGCAGCCCCCAGAAGCAAGTTGCCAACATATATTTACTGTTGGGGAAAATTCTTCTTTTTGTTTTTTTTTTTCAATGTTTATTTATTTTTGAGAGACAGAGTGTGAGCAGGGGAGGGGCAGAGAGAGAGGGAGACCCAGAATCCGAAGCAGGTTCCAGGCCCCGAGCCGTCAGCACAAAGCCTGACGCGGGGCTCAAACCCACGAACCGTGAGATCGTGACCCGAGCCGAAGTCGGACGCTCAACCGACGGAGCCACCCCGGCGCCCCATCAAAGGGGAAAATTCTTTACGCCACGGGGGGGGGGGCAGTAATCGATCCACTGCAGGCATCGTGCAGGTCGGCCCTGGCGAACCGGGGTGATTGTCGGTCGAGGCTCCAATTGGTACTAACCATTCAAGCCATACTTTCCTGCTCGAACACTTTCTTTGCTGAGACAACTTCCTCCCCTTTTCTCCCCCAGGAGGACACCATGGAGGTGGAAGAGTTCTTGAAAGAAGCCGCAGTGATGAAGGAGATCAAGCACCCCAACCTCGTGCAGTTGCTGGGTGAGTGAGCTCTGAAGAGACGGCCTCTCTCTTACGCCCCCTGGGGTGATGCGGGCGCTATGACAGAGGAGGTGAACGTGTCTGACGTGGACGTCTGTCCTCTGGCGACACTCAGCCCGTGGTGGCAAGGAGGCCGATGCGGGATGGTGTGTGCATGGACGGAATAGGCTGTTGCTTTAAGTGGAGACCCCAGAGTAGTCCGGTGCAAATCTCAGCCGGCTTCTGAGACCAGAGGTGTCGAGAGTCCCTTCGCTGCAGTTCTCCCGTGAGCAGACGTCGCCACGTGGGGGTGACGTGGGCTGTGGGGTGTGCACCTGACCTTTGCTTCTGAACTCGGTGGCGTCTTCTTCTGTTCGAGTTCAGGGGCTCGAGAGGAAGAAAAGAGCCTGGCCACCTCCCTCCCACAGGAACACATCACAAGCCACGAGTGCTTGGGACCGTATTAGACGTTGGGCCCCAGACTTTGCGGCAGACACAGAACGTGTTTCGGGGGCTCTTTTCTTTCATTTTCTTTTCTGTTTTTTAATTTTTTTTTTTTTATGTTTATTTTTGAGAGAGGGGCACGGAGTGTGAGCGGGGGAGGGGCAGAGCGAGAAGGAGACACACAGCATCCGAAGCAGAGGCTCCGGGCTCCCGAGCCGTCAGCACGGAGCCCGACGCGAGGCTCGAACTCGTGAATGACGAGATCGTGACCTGAGCTGAAATCGGACGCTTAACTGACTGAACCCCCCCAGGCGCCCCCAGGGGTCCTTTTCTGGTGCTTGTGCAGTCGGGAGCAGAGCGGCCCCCCGAAGCCCTCAATGTCTGTCTTGTTGGCAGGGGTCTGCACCCGGGAGCCCCCGTTCTATATAATCACTGAGTTCATGACCTATGGGAACCTGCTGGATTACCTGCGGGAGTGTAACCGGCAGGAGGTGAATGCTGTGGTGCTGCTGTACATGGCCACGCAGATCTCGTCAGCCATGGAGTACCTGGAGAAGAAGAACTTCATCCACAGGTAGGGGCCTGGCGGAGCAGCCCTCCTCGCAGCGCCGCGGAGCGAGCGTGGGGCCCGGGCAGCCTCCTCCACGAAGCTCCAGCCCACAGGGCGTGAGGGCTCAGCCTCCCGCCTCAGCGCTGGCGGCATGTTGGACGCTGGAACAGAGGCAGACGCTGGGTTCCTGACTTTGCCAGCTCCAGGCGCGCGTCTGGGCCCACGGGGCAGTGGATCCCCGCGGTAAGAAACACTTCCCTTGGAAGCATCTTGGACTAAGTGGAATATCCAGCGAAGCCCCTCAGAGGTGTCCGTGCTCCCTGGGGAGGCAGAGCGCTCGGTGTCACCAGGAGTGACCTCCCCCGCAGGGAGGCTGGCGTTGCGCCCACACCGCCCCGCGGGTACAGCCGGCGCGTGGCTTTTGTTTCCGAGCGGCGTGTTTTCTGTGCCCGCCCCCCCTTCCCTTTATTTCATTCTCCACTTAGCTTGCCGCCCTCCGGTCCAGGGACGCGTCCACGATTGTCAGGACGGCGTCAGTGCGGTCCTGAATTAAGCGCCTTTGCTGTTCTAAAGCCTGGAGGGCTTTGACCTTCAAGCGGGCCGCAATTATCTTAACTGTTCGCATTCTTTGCTGGTGGAAATGGCTTCCTGGCAAAGGAAGGTTCTGTCCAAGCAGGACAGAACCCGATGGGCTTTGCCGGTGACTTTTATACAAGATGTTCTACACGCCACCGCCCTGAACTTTCCTCCCCAATTAACTCAAGTATGAGACCCATACATGAGATTTCACAGCGAGGGACGAGAGTAGAATGTGTGAGACATTGGCGCTTCCTTGTAAGACAGATTTCCTGTGCTGCATGAGAGCCTGATTCCGATGCGCCTGTCACTCAAACGGTGAACCCTCTGAGGCTGCAAATTGAGATTTCTTGACTTGTGGTTCGCTTTGCATGGCTACGTCTGTCCCCCCTTCATTTCACAGACTTAAAACGCTTTACCAAAATCCTATTAGGCACAAGTCTTCTGTATTTAATTGCTCTCTGATTGCTGACGATCAGGCGATCTTACCTTCAGCCATCGCCTAAAGGTGCTGCCTCGTCGCATCCCCCTGTTCCGTTTTGCCTTGTGATTTCATGGTTAACATCCGTGAGCCAGAGATTAGACTCCCACCTCCCTGGGAGAATCCGGAGGCGAGAGGAAGCCGATTATACGGGAGAGAATTTTTAGGATACGTTCGGATACACATCAGGAGGAAATAGGAAACTAGGAAACACAGTTTGGGGAGAAGGAGGGGGTGGAGTGCTATGGGCTTTATTTTATTTTGTCCTCTGTCAAGTCTGGATAGGCCACATGGAGACTCCCTCCGATGGAAGTTTCTCCCAGTTGAGGACTGGCTGGTGCCTTCGTTCCCCGTGCCTGCCGTAGAGCCGTCCTAACCCAGCAGACCCTTAGGTGATTGCAGATAGGCAGGTGTGAGTTAAAGCGCTTCACGTATTAAGTCACGACCACTCACGACAAGCCTACGAAGTAGGCACTGCCATCATCTTCGTGTTACGGGTGCGGTAACTGAGGCCCAGGGTAAGGAGCTTGCTCCCGCCCACCCTCTGCCACCTCTCCCCGCGGTGGGAGCCCGGGCGGATGCTGAGGCACGGGCACAGGTTCCCGGGGGACTGGACGCGGTCGTCGGGAGGGCGCCTTCCCTCAGTGGCGGTGGATTTGCGGAGCCAGGAACGCAATAGGCACAACTCTCACGGCTGAACTCTCTCTCTTTCCCCAGAGATCTTGCTGCCCGAAACTGCCTGGTAGGGGAGAACCACTTGGTGAAGGTGGCTGATTTCGGCCTGAGCAGGTTAATGACAGGGGATACGTACACAGCCCACGCCGGGGCCAAGTTCCCCATCAAGTGGACAGCGCCAGAAAGCCTGGCCTACAACAAGTTCTCCATCAAGTCCGACGTCTGGGGTAAGGGCTGCCGCTGCGGCTCCCGGTCGGCCCTCACCCGCGAGCGCGGGCTCCTTGTCCCGGTTTTCTTTGTCTCCTTGCCTTTCGCTGCCTCCCTCTCACTCCTTCATTTGTTTTCCTTCATTCCTTAATTCTCTTTCTTACCGTTTTTTCCCTTTCTCACCTCACAATCTTTGCTCCCCTGTTTTCCCCAAAATGAAGTAAAAGCGGAGTTTTCTTCCAGAATAATTCAGGTTACCTTCCCCCCCCCGCCCCCTAACTTCCCATCTCCAGCCCGAGCTTACTGCTTGGGTTTTTGGGGGCACTTCGCCAAGCCTGCAGGCACCCACGATTTTCTGTAGTTTGGTTTGGGCTTTACATAGGATATTGCCCCCTGAAGCTTCACGTGCCAGTATTCTGTTTGTGTCTTTTGTTAAAGAACTTGTCACAGCAGGTAGTCAGCATCTGAAGAAGCACATGTCATTGCACGGTGAGCCCGAGGTACGTGTCACCCAGCTTTACCGGCCATCGCCTCATGGCGCTCCCGGACCCTGTGCCCCGCCCCCTGCCCCGACCCTCACTATCTTGAAGCAGACCCCCGATAGCATTTGATTTTGTCCATAAATACTTCAGTATGAGTCTCTTAAAGGTGTCTCTTTTTTATCCTCGTAACCACATCGCTCTTCCTCCCCGAATTGATCGTCATTTTGAATATTACGATCCAGTCAGTGTTCACATTTCCAGTTGAGTGTTCGTGGTCCCGCTGTTGTGGTCTGTCTGAGTTGAGATCCGGATACCGTCCACACAAGGTGGACGGTTGATGCCCCCTCAGTGCCCTCTGGTCTGCAGGCTCCCTCCCCGTATTTTCCTTTCGCTCGCTCGCTATTTGTGGAAGAAACCTCACGTGTCCTTGCAAGTCTCCCACGCTGTACCCCGTGCTGTGATTTAATGCGTTCCTCTGTCTTTGGTACCCCTACTAAATGGGCAGTGGGATCTGGACAGTTTGGTCACATTCGGGTTTGACTTTTTTCTTTTAGCAGGAGCACTGGGTGCTTTGTCGTCAGTAGCTGCACAGTGCTCGATTTGCTCTCTTTTTTGTGATTTTAGCGGTTTCTAATCCCCAGTGCTGAGATCCACTGATTTATTAGGGGTTGCCAGACGGTAATTCTCGAATGCTGTCACTCCTCGTTCCCGGCTTAGCTCAGTACGGCTGTCAGACGAAACCCTCATCTGCTGTGGGGTTACTTCGGGGTACGGTTCACACAGAAAAGGCCACATAGTTGTTTGTCTCCTTGCCCGGGCTTACCAGGGGTCACGCAAACGAGCTAGTTTTTTAATACCCTCGAATGGTGACCAAGTACATTTTTGGGTTTTTTTGGGTTTTTTCCTTTTGTGATGATACATACGTATATATGTGTGTGACGTGTTTAGATGTATCTGATGTGTTTTAATCCACGGTAGTTCTTCTCCTTATTGATAAGCAGAGTGTCTCCTGTTTGGCCACATTGCTCCCTTTTGACAAGACCCCTTGTAGCCTTTGATGGCGTCTGTGCCGTGTAGAGCGATTAAGATATTGCAGGTTCATTCCGGCCCTGAACCTGAATCATCCATTCTCCAAGGGGTCCTTGGATCTCTTCAGTGGGATCTGGGATTTCAAGGCTACAATCTGGGCTTTCAAAGATTTTGTAAGATTTTTATGAAATGTTTAGAGTTGGAAGGGGCCCTGGAGATAATCTCATATGCCCCGAAAGGAGACGTGGCCCGTCTGAGACACTTAGCCAGGTGATCTCAAAACTCGGAGTAGAAATGGCGTCCTGATCTCCAGCCCTAGGTTCCCTGCATCACAAATCCCAGTAAAGATGGTCACCTTACCTCAAAGACCCTGGAGAGGCCGATCAGTACAGTCTCTTCTCCCCTGCGGTGCGTTTTAGTCTGGTTCTGTCCTGGGCTGTTGGTCGTTAAAGGCCTGGTAAAATGTTGGTGTCTGGCCTGCTTCTGAAGGTGTGGTGGCTGCTGCTTTTTTTTTTTTTTTTTTTTTTTTTTTTTTTTTTGATGTTTATTTTTGAGAGAGACAGAGCCCAAGTTGGGGAGGGGCAGAGAGAAGAGGGGAGACACAGAATCCGAAGCTGGCTCCAGGCTCTGAACTGTCATCACAGAGCCCGACACAGGGCTCGAACCCACGAACCGTGAGATCGTGGCCTGAGCCGAAGTCGGATCCTTAACCGACTGAGCCACCCAGGCGCCCCCTGAGGGCGTAGGTGCTTATAATGTCCACTACACGGGTAACCAATTTCAAATGCAAGATAGTTAAATTTGCCACATCTTGAACAACCTTCCTCTCTCTTTTTTCCTTGCAGCGTTTGGAGTACTGCTTTGGGAAATTGCTACCTACGGTATGTCACCTTACCCAGGAATTGACCTGTCCCAGGTATACGAGCTGCTAGAGAAAGACTATCGCATGGAACGCCCGGAAGGCTGCCCAGAGAAGGTCTACGAACTCATGCGAGCATGTGAGTCTACCCCAGCCGGTGGTAAAACTTCTGTGTGGGCTTTGTAAGAAATTCCCGTGCAGGAGTGTTTTCCTAAAGTCAAAAAGTATTTCCCTTCCTGTCTTTATTCACATTCTTCAGAAGCAACTAATATAACAGATGCATACTTACTCAGATTCCGTGTCTCTGTACACGTTATTTATACATAGTATTTATGTGTGAGGCTCTTTCTGTTTTTCATGCAAAAATGGGATGGATGGATACCAAACTTAGATTTCTTATTTAAAAATGCAAATTCCTGGGCCCTGCCTCCAAACATTCTGCTGTGATAGGTAAATACTCCCGGTGACATTTACCTGGGTTGGTTTTATTTCGTGTGTGTGTGTGTAAAACAACTCCCTCAACTTTTTTTGCACACAGCCGTAAGGCTCACGACAGTTTCATGTCCATATTTCAAAGATCCCGTCCTCTCTCCATCCCCTTATTTTTATATAGCTGTTTAGCTTGCCGTTAAATGATGTATTCATCCATCTCTTCCCCTTTTGATGGACATTTGCTTGTTTTACACCTGTGTTTGGCTTTTGCCATCGTGAGCAAAGCCAGGATGAACACCCTCCTACGTAGACGTCCGTACATTGTGCCGGTAGTTGTGGAAGTTGACCTGTTGGTCCAAAGAGCTATTTGCGTTTTAAATTCTGAAAGATTTTACCGAATTGTTTTCCAGGAAAGGTGTACCAATTTATATTCCCACCAGAAGTGTAGGAGAGTTAATTCTGCATCCTTACCAACACGAGCTTCCGTCAGTCCATAATCCTCATGTTAACCTTGTTTTAATTAGCAGGCCAGACACCAAAGGACTTTAGACTTTGATAACCCAGAAGTGAGGGTCAAATGGAAGCCACGTGACTCCGTGATTCTCTGCACTTGATTGAGTGGGGCCGGGGAAAAGATTTATAAATGCACTTCTTGCTGTCACAACTCTCTGGGGCTCTACAGTCCATATTCCTGCCAGTATCTAAGGTCTTTTCACATTCTTAATGTCTGTGGCAGGACACGGTGACATTTGTCACTTGTCCCAGCACAAGATGGTTAGCAAGATTTGGGGTGCTTCTTTCATCACCAGATCTTCCTTGAGCGTTACTAGCCCCACACTTGTTAGCAGGGCCTCATGCGTGGTCTGCCTGGGTCTCGTCCGTCCAGGTTGGCAGTGGAATCCCTCCGACCGGCCCTCCTTTGCTGAAATCCACCAAGCCTTTGAGACCATGTTCCAAGAGTCCAGCATATCAGATGGTAAAGTGCCCTTTCCTGGGGGTGCCTGCAGTGGGGCGAGAGGTTGGGATGGAAGGGACGGCCGGGCGGGGCTCCAGCCCGGTAGAGCTCTTCACTTCCGGCTAGAAGAGCCCCAGGCCAGCAAGTTATCTGAGACCAGAAGGCCGGGCAGAGGCGTGGAGATCTCTGTCTTGTGGCCACGCACCTTTCTGGAAAGTGCCGAGTGCGGTTTTCTCCGCATCTGCGTCTCTTTTTCTGTAACTGCGCGTGGGTGACCACTCGTGCCTGAGAAACAGAAAGAACGCCAGACCGACGCCATTACTAACGGCCGCTGATTTTTGTTTTTGTTCTCGGTGGTTCTTAGAAGTGGAAAAGGAACTGGGGAAAAAAGGTGTGCGAGGGGTTGCGAGTACTTTGCTGCAGGCCCCAGAGCTGCCCACCAAGACGAGAACGTCTAGGAGAGCCGCGGAGCACAAAGACCCCGCTGAGGTGCCCGAGACGCCCCACTCCAAGGGCCCAGGAGAGACCGGTACGTCCCCCCACCCCCACCAGGCCCGGAGGGGTCCGCGCCGTCAGGGCCAGTGTAGGCGGATGGGAAGCAGTGAGTGCGCCTGCACGGCGGGCGGGCTGACTCTAATTCCTTGTCAGTGGTCCAGCTCGAAAAGAAGGTTCCCCACAGCGGCCCACCCTCCTCCTGGGAATCATCAGGAACCATTGGCTTCGGTAGTTAGCTCAGTCAGGTAGGCACAGGTGCTGATGAAACCGATGGGGAAGACAAACCCGCCTTCTCGTGGATTATTCATGGCATTTGTGGTTGCTCTGGCAGGGCAGATACAGCAATAATAAACATCGAACCAGGTAGAGAGCAGCTTGTGGCAAAAACACTGGTGCGAAAAGCTCCCCAGGACGGACGGAGCCAAGAGACGCCCGTGGCACAGAGTCGGCGTCCGCGCCTGGTCTCTGACACAAAAACCTGTCGGCCACCGTTCCCTAGACGAGCCAGCGAGGTGGGGGTGGTGCGGGGGTCTCAGGATGCTCGCAGGAATGCTGCTCGCAGATGGGGACCTGGTGGCCCCATGCGCTGTGCTCTCCTTTGAGTTAGGACATGCTTGTGGAGCGCTTGCCACCCTGTCCCCCCACAAGCCCCAGAAATCTGGGCTCATAGAGGCTCCTAGGGGATGCTCTGATGGACCACAGACCGAGCGAGTGGGAAGGTGCACGGCAAAGCCCGAATTATGGGATGTTTAGCCATAGCAGGATCTGTAGTCCCAGGATTCCCCCCCCCCTTTTTTTTTTTTTATATTGTGTACCCATGTCAGTTAAAAAAACAAACAAAAAAAGATGGGAAGCCTGGGTGTAGATGTGTACGACTGTGCAAATATGTGTAACTTAAAATATACCAAAAACGTACACTTAGAAGGTTTATATAAGACAAGAAATCCAAATTACGATGTTTTCCCTCCATACCCCCTGGGTCGCCCTGCTCACCCACCCTGGAGGCCGTGGCGTAGAGACCATCCAGAACCTTGGACCTTTGTCCTTCTGTCGGGTGTCATGATTTCGGCAATTCAGTGGTGGGAATGGGGAGAGGCCACCGTGGAAACTTCAGGCTTATTAGAAGCCCGGTGATACACAGCCCTGTTCATTTACGGCCGTCGGGATTCGCGTGTCGTCTCCTGGTGAGCCGAGAGTGTCGGCTTTTGGGTCCTGCGATGGGGCTGCGCACGGGTCGTTAGAATCTCACTTTCTCTGCCGCCTCCTGCTGGATTGAGGTTTGGGGAGGTCCTCAGCTTTCCCCGAGCCGGGTGTCCTGTGTGCCACCCGGTGTCCTGAGGGGAGCCCCCTTGTACCTCTGCTGCGGTTAAGGACGCCCCCCCCTGTGCTGCTCGGGTGCTGACAGAAAACCGCTCTCCTCACAGCCGCCCCCTGAGGGCGACTTCTGTCATTCACTGGCCCCGAGCTTGGCAACACCAGAAAGATTTCTTAGGAGCTATTATTCGTGTGTAAAGAATGCCCATTTAAACATCTGTAAAGGTCAGTCCTTGTTTGCCAAGCATAATAGCCCATTGTCGCTGTGGTGAGCGTCCCCTTCCCTTCAGGCCCCACCTCCGAGGAACCATGACTGGCAGGTCCGTGGGGCGCGGGGCCTGACCCTTTGCTCGGCCTTGTCGTGGGTTTCACGCACCAGACAGTGGCACGGAGGGGGCTCTGTGCTGTAAAGGAAGCCCCAGTGCAGGGGTGAGGACGAGTGTCGTGGCTTTCTGTGCTGCCGTCCTCAAGGAGAGAGACCTGTGCTCTTCCTAATAACACCAGTAGCAACAGGGGCAACAGTGAGCCACTACGTGCCAGAAGCTGGGACAGAGCCTCCTTCTATTGCATTGTATTCACACAGCCACGCTGCGGGTGGGTCTTTCTTCTTGCTTTTAGTGTTCACTTATTTATTTTGAGAGAGCGTGAGCAGGGGGAACAGGCAGAGAGGGAGAGAGAGAGAGAGAGGGAGAGAGAGAGAATATGAATCCCAAGCAGGCTTCGTGCCGTGCGCACAGAGCCCGACACGGGGCTCGATCCCTCAAACCACGAGACCGTGACCTGAGCCCAGGTCAAGCGTCAGACGCTTAACCGACTGAGCCACCCAGGCGCCCCGTCTACGGGTGGGTTTTGTTTCTCCATTTCGTAGAGGAGAACGCTGAGGATGTGTGGAGAGGCGTCCCTTGCCTAGGCCTCACGGCTGGGGGGCGGGGGGCAGGGGGGAGGGTGGCGGAGCTGGTGCTCACGCGCAGGCCTGTCCGGGCCCAGACCCGTGGCTGGTCCTCTGAGGAGCCGGTGGCCAGCCCCAGGTTCCCCCTCACAAAGGAGCCTCTCGTCTGAAGCTGTTAAACTCTTCCCGCTGTATTTCAGATCCTCTGGACCACGAGCCCCCTGTGTCTCCACTGCTCCCTCGAAAAGAACGAGGTCCCCAGGATGGCGGCCTGAATGAGGATGAGCGCCTTCTTCCCAAAGACAAAAAGACCAACTTGTTCAGTGCCTTGATCAAGAAGAAGAAGAAAACGGCCCCAACGCCCCCGAAACGCAGCAGCTCCTTCCGGGAGATGGACGGCCAGCCCGAGCGCAAGGGGGCCGGCGAGGAAGAGGGCCGAGAAACCAGCAACGGGGCACCGGCTCTCACACCCTCGGACGCAGCCGAGCCAGCCAAGTCCCCAAAGCCCAGCAGCGGGGCTGGCGTCCCCAACGGAGCCTTCCGGGAGTCCGGGGGTGCAGGCTTCCGGTCTCCCCACCTGTGGAAAAAGTCCAGTACGCTGACCAGCAGCCGCCTAGCAGCCGGCGAGGAGGAGAGTGGCGGCAGCTCCAGCAAGCGCTTCCTGCGGTCCTGCTCGGCCTCCTGCGTGCCCCACGGAGCCAGGGACACCGAGTGGAGGTCCGTCACACTGCCTCGGGACCTGCAGTCCACGGGCAGGCAGTTCGACTCGTCCACGTTTGGAGGGCACAAAAGCGAGAAGCCGGCTCTGCCTCGGAAGCGGGCGAGTGAGAACAGGTCCGACCAGGCGACCAGAGGCACGGTGACTCCCCCACCCAGGCTGGTGAAAAAGACCGAGGAAGCAGCCGATGAGGTCTTTCGAGACGCGGGGGAGTCCAGCCCGGGCTCCAGCCCCCCAAGTCTGACTCCAAAACTCCTCCGCAGGCAGGTCACGGGGGCTCCTTCCTCTGGCCTTCCCCACAAGGACGAGACCGCCAAGTCCGGTGCCTTGGGGACACCTGTCGCAGCTGAGCTGGTGCCCCCCGCCAGCAGAGCAGGGCCAGGTGCGTCCGGAGGGACCGGCAAGGCCCCCGCCGAGGAGCCCAGAGCGAGGAGGCACAAGCCTTCCTCCGAGTCCCCAGGGAGAGACAAGGGGAAACTGTCCAAGCTCAAACCTGCCCCACCGCCCCCGCCGCCGGCCTCCGTGGGGAAAGCCGGGAAGCCCGCTCAGAACCCGACCCAGGAAGCGGCCGGGGAGGCCAGCACTGGCGGGAAAACGAAAGCCGCGGCTGTGGTCGTGGATGCTGTGAACAGTGACGCCATCAAGCCCAGTCCGCTGGGAGAGGGCGTCAAAAAGCCCGCGCTCCCATCCGTGCCAAAGCCGCAGTCGTCCAGCAAGCCAGCGGGGGCCCCAGCCGGGGCGGCGCCCGCCCCCTCCACGTTGCCATCAGCAGCCTCCGCCCTGGCCGGGGACCAGCCCGCGTCTACTGCCTTCATCCCTCTCATATCGACCCGCGTGTCTCTTCGGAAAACCCGCCAGCCTCCGGAGCGGATCGCCAGCGGCACCATCACCAAGAGCGTGGTCCTGGACGGCACCGAGGCCCTGTGCCTGGCCATCTCCAAGAACTCCGAGCAGATGGCCAGCCATAGCGCCGTGCTGGAAGCCGGCAAAAACCTGTACACGTTCTGCGTGAGCTATGTGGATTCCATCCAGCAGATGAGGAACAAATTCGCCTTCCGCGAGGCCATCAACAAACTGGAGAATAATCTCCGGGAGCTTCAGATCTGCCCGGCGACAGCAGGGAGTGGCCCGGCGGCCACTCAGGACTTCAGCAAACTCCTCAGCTCCGTGAAGGAGATCAGTGACATCGTACAGAGGTAGCAGAAGCCGGGCGTGAGGCCGGCCGGAGCCGCCTGCAGTGCGTGAAGGCTTCCCCATGCCTGCGACAGTGGCCGACACCAGACCAGTGAGTTGGGACCTTGGCCCGGGAGCGCTGCGCCACACGGAGCCAGGGGCCACTGTGGAACACAGCCTGACTACCTGTGTTTTGTGCCAACTGTCCCGCACTTCCCCCTCCCCCAGCCCGAGCTCCCTGAGTCGCCTCTGTCCCGAGTTCTATCTGTGGAGTTCCTGCTCTGTGGACCCCGGTCGGCCCGCCGGCCTCCTCCCCACGTAGTGCTCCAGAACTGAGCTCTTCCGGCCAGGGGTGAAAGCAGATGAGCATATTTCCTTTCCGCTGGTCTTTCTGGAGGCCCTCCTCTGGGGATGCCTTCTCCTCCGCTTCCCGCAGGACACGAGCGCCCTGCACAGGAGCCTTGTCACCGAGGCCCGAGGAACTGTCCTCCCCACCTACCCCATGGGGGGAGCCGGCGCAGAAGACCCGTCTCCAGAACTACATCCTGGGAAGCGCTTGCCAGCTGGTCACTCTGCCCTCCGTTGCTGCCGGGGGCTGGTGCCCTCACATTGCCTCGTGTGAAGGACAGCTCTTGATTTGGGGGGTGAAACGGGGTGCTAAAACCAGCCGGCCCTTGGGTCCTTGCTGTCTTGTGGCACTGCTCGGCCTGGATGGAAAGCTGGAGTCTGAAGGGTAGGAGGGTCGCGGTCCGGCGTGCAGGGTCAGGGGAGGCAGGCAGGGTGGCTGGCTGGGGCAACAGCTGGTACCCAGATGGCCCGGGGCTGGGCCCAGCCTACCTTCTTTTCAGGCTTCCAGGTGCCCAGAAAAGGCACTCGGTCTTGATTTCTGACCGGTCTCCTTCTCCTCCCTTGTACTCCTCTGAGACCAAGTAGATTCATGCAGAGCTCTTTCCTGTGTGACAAGCCAACCTTTAGTTTTCCGGAGCATTTCATGGCTCTGAGCTCAGCCCAGTCGCCTCCGGCACAGAAGGACTGGCCGCCGGCGCACAGGAGGAGAAGGACTGTGGCACCAAAGCCCCAACCGTTGCTGGCTGTGTGCTAAGAGGCCAATGTCCTGTTGAATCGCCACGAGCAACCACACGCAGCCCACTGTTTCTGCTGGGGTTTTCAGGGATGGAGAAAACCACAAATAGATGAAGCCCAGGAAGTGTCTCCAAGAGCAGTCCTCGGTCTCCTCTCCCCAGGCTGCCCAGGACCAGGCTCTCCAGCCAGGGGCCCAGGCCGCCTTGACCTTGACCTAGAGCAGCTGCTGAAGGAGGGGGGCAGGCACCTGCCTGGGCCTCCTGCCGGGCCCAGGCGCGACCACCTTCCACCCCCATACCCCCGTGACCTCACACCGGCCTCATCACCCGAACTTGTTCTTTATTTCTCTGGTAGAGATGGTTCCCTCTGCATCGATTTGTGCTGTCCTCACAGCTCATCACCTCTTTGCCCCCTCCCTCCACCCCCCAGACTTCTGTGTCACACAGACTGAGGGAGGTGCTAGAACACCACCAGCGGCCTTGCAGACAAAGCAAAACCGACCCCACCCAGGTCCCCTCGACCGCCTCTTTCTATAAGGTACTGATTTTTTTTTGTTCACATGACGTGCCACTATATTTTGCATTTATATCTTGGTATTACACTCTTTTATAGACTTGGTCTTTTATAAATGACATGTAAATAGTTTTCCACTATTTTCCCTTCTCAAATGCCTATGTGTTCTTTTTTTTTTTTTTTTGGTCCAGTACATTTTGTTTCTGTATATGACTCTGTTTTTTGAATCCACATCTCTCCGTAGTATTTTTTAAATAAATGTTTACAACGTTAGAACTCGGGCAGATGGGTCTGGTCTGTCATTTTCCCTGTCCCTCCGGGCTGTGGTGTGCAGACGGGAGGGAGGGGGTCCTCGTTGCCCTTAAGGGGCTGGAGGCTCCGGGGTGGGTTTTACGGGAGTGCAGTGGGAATCCTGCATCTGGGCATCTTCCTCGGCCTGCCAAATGCGGTTTCCCTCCCTGCCCTGGCCTCCGGCCCTTCTTGCGCCCTTGACACGGATCTGCCAGCAGCACTGGGCGTGGGTGGGCCCTGCCTCCGAATCGGGAGGAAGAGGAGTCCAAGGGCTGTTCCAGCTGTCACTCCGTCACAGCATCATTGAATCGGGAGGAAGTACGTCCTGGGCTCCACTGGCCTGGAAGCAATAGTCCCTCCACAGGTGCGCCTTTTTCCTCTGCCTGTGACCCCGCCTCGGCTCCCCGCCGGCCCCCGAAGCACCCCTCGCGCGCTGTGGCCCACCCGCCCCGTGTCTCCTTTCTCTGTGCTCATGAGGAGGGGCAGGGGGCCTGGAAATGCCACCTGCAGCGCCGTGGCCTCTCCCAGCCCCCCACCGAGGGGACCGAGGGGGCGCGTGCGGCCGTTTCCTCGTCTTGGCCTGCATTTAACGCCAGCTGACAGCTTGGAAAGTGGCAGTCGGGGAAGTGAGTGGTGCTGTCTGATAATGATACTTATTAAGCCAGCAGCCTTGTCAGGGGACACGGGTCCTGCTCACCAGAGCGTGTGCAGGACCACGGTTGAGTGGACCCTCCGCGGCCGCTGTGCTGCCTGTCTCGGGCCGGAGGTGAGGCCGCCGGCCTGCGGCGAGGGCTGGTGGGACCGCGGGGTGTGCCCGCACCCGGGGGCTGCAGGAGCCCCTCCCTCATTTCACGGAGGCCCGGGCCACGCCCTGTCCAGGCCCCAGCTCTCCCAAGTCAGGGGGCCTTCCTCGAGGGACAGCTCTGGCATCGGAAAGAAGACGCACAGTGACTTGGAGTGACGGCCGCAACCGACGGGCTGCTTCCTCGGTGCCAGACGTGGGCCCGGCCCAGAGTCTTCACGGAGCCCTCTTAGGGCACATTGTCCCGTTTTCTTGACGCCCGGCAGTGAGGCTGCAGCCGGGCACGGCCCTCGCCTGGTGTCCCGTGCCTGTCACCGCAGTGGCTGTGCCAGGGGGAAATACAAGTCTTCTCTCAAATAAGAACGTTCTGTGTGTCACCCGAGCTTCAGAAACTTACTTGGGTCTAGCCGTTCCAGGACCGTGGTTCCTGCCCTTGGTCAGGTCACAGAGCCCCTTGAGGACTGCGTGCACCTGGATCGAGCCCCCGAAAACCCACGTACGTGCACACACGGTTTTTGGGTAATTTCGAGGCCTGCCCTCCAGGTCCGGAACCAAGGAGCGCCCGAGGGTCAAGCCTGCCAGAAGGGCCGGCAGCTGCCGTTGATGCTGTTTTCACAAAATCCAAGCCCAAACGTCAGAGTGAGGATCGCAGGGAAGAACCCTCAGACTGAAAACCGTCCAGATGCCGTCAGCACAGAGGAGCAGAACGTTGCGATGTGTTCACATAGTGGGATGTTACGGAGCAGCGGAGACGAACACTCTTGGCCGCAACCCCGCGTGGACACGAGTCATGCGAACGTAACGTTGAACAGAAGCAGCCAGACACGCAGTAGCGATGCCAGAAACTTCCGTTTATTTACGCCAACACGGCTAGCCTGTGGTGTCGTGTTAGAAGTCAGGACGGAGGGCCGCGCCTGGTTGGGGTGCAGGGGAGCTCTTGGGGGGCAGGTGACACCGTGTTTCTCAGTCTGGGTCGTGCCGGCCAGTGGGTCTGTCACTTGGTGAAAATGGAACTGTGCACAGAGTGGGAGCCCGTTCTCCATGTGTGTCATATTCCAGTGGGAGTTTTCTTAAAATCACAGCCCACACGTGGGCGTTCTCAGCCACTACAGATGCGCCACGCGTTACCACGTGACAGCCTCTCCCTTGTTTTTTTTCTAACGAGGGAGGTTCTGTTGCTGTTCGGCATTTGATGTGTGAGGAAGTTGAGACTCAGAGATGTGGAGCAGCTTGCCCCGGGTCACACAGCATGTGCTGCCATACTGTGCTGGACTAACTCGTTGATGGTGGTAGGTGGCCCCAGCGTGGCCAACAGAAGAGGTCTGGGCTCCAGTCAGGCTCCTCCCTCTGTCGTGGAAGAAAAGAAGTCCAGGATTGCAGCCAACCCAGCTTCTCAGGTGTTGGGATGTTTTACGGGAGGCATTCCCAAATGGAGTGTCCTGGGGAATCAATTTGTAAATGTTGCCTTGGCACGGAAGGCGTCAGGTGGGACAAGACCGACCGGCCACGGTGTCCCTGTCATGCCTACCCACCTCCCTGATGGCGACCCAACATCGTGGGCAGGGCCCCAGCTCCCTGCTCAGAGGGTAAAACACCTTTCCTGACTTGGGGTCTTCAAGGGACTCTGTCCTGCAGCGTCTCTGGTCCTGGGGCAAAGTTAAGGACAGGGTGGCTCCTTATTTACTTCAGCAGCTGCTGGATGGCCCGCTGCCTGCCCCGTGAGCCTTTTCTCTTAAAACGTTTTTATTAATGTTTGAAACATAGGGGAAAATACAAAAATACTCCCCATCCAGTGTTTAGCTAGACGCCCAAGATGAAGGCTCTCGTGTGTGCGTCTTGCACCAACACGCCGAAAGGATGCAGACAGGTGCCTGGGCTGGAGGACACCATCTCATCACGCCAGCTAGAGCAAACCCAGACAGGGAGCTTGATCTCTGCTTGCAAAGTCAATGTTTTCCAAAGAACCTCACCGTCACTAATCTGGAGAGTGATCGTCCCCGCCAAGGAGGGCGCGGGGGGTGGTGTGAAAGGCCCCCGAACCTCGACCAAGCCCCGGGGGGTAGAGCGAGGGGCGGGGAACTGAAGAGGTGATATCGCCAGATACAGCACGGGAGTGGACTGAACAGAGCAATGCCCTTAACGGTTTGGTCGTTTAGATGTTCGGGCTTATTGCGCTCGAATGTACAAGCAACTGGAAAGAATACCTTTGTTGCTGATGGTTGTTGAAGGGTGAAAGTGATGACGGGATATCCACCCCTCTGAAGGCCCTCCCCTTCCCCCTCTTTATCTCCGATTTCTCTGAGGTTAATCTCATCCTACTAAATTAGAAACCAGCCAGTATGTTCCCAAACTGTGTGGTAAACACATGCGGGAGTAGCTCAGCCTCGGTGACCTCCAGGTTCCTGCAGTTAGTGACCATGGAGGTGGCTCCTTTCATTCTAAGAGTAGAAATTGGCCAAGTGAGGGTCACCAGGGCACCTGGCTGCAGGGTGGTCCTCTGCCCTTGGCCTTCGATCTGTCCTGTCTCACCTGGTCTTTTCACAAGCATGTTCTCTGGCTTCCCTGCATGTGTCAGTGAGTGAAGGGAGGAGGGATCCAGCTTACTGCCCGCCCGCGCCCCAACGAAGTGGAAATGAGCCAAGACTGGGGCGAGAGCCTGGGCTGGGATTTCACTTCCTTCACGTGGCCACCCCGCGATGTCTATTCCCAGCTCCGGAACTGTCCTTGTTGGACACGCTGGGACTCATTTTCTTGAGGTTTACCCTCTGTGGCTTGAGGGCTGAGTGTTTGCCTCTCTTTACCAACAGACGAAGACCCCGGGATGTGTTCCATCCCCACCAGTCTGTCACATTAGCAGGACGCGTCCCGGATCATCCCTTCCCTGGACAGCGGTAGAAGCCAAAGGGAGTACAATGTGCCTCCCAGACTCCGTGTCACTATCTGGCGCCTGTCCCGGCGGGGCACGCGGAGGGGAGAAGCCGCGAGGAGCTCCAGGGGAAGGCAGCTCACTTTAACCCAAGGTGATGTCTGGATTCCTGTGTTCCTGTCCCACCCTGCCACCCCATTTCCGCGCCCCAGTCAGCTTGGCTCTTTTGTGGCTCAGATCTGTCACCCCCTAATGAAGTGGCTTTCTGGCTGCCGAGGATTGAGAGCTGCTGCTGGGGAATCTAAGTCACTAATAGAATGGAAAACACTGTGAAATGCTCCGAGGTGCCAAGCTGGGCCCAACCCAGTGTGGTTCTAAAAGGCTAATAAAAATCCACCAATTAATTGTGACAGCTCAATGGAAAATTATTCAATTGTGAACAGGGCCAAGCTGCAGCTCGAAAGGAGGAGGGGAGATGTTGCCATAGTAACATCAATCCAGGCTCTCATCTAGGCGGTCGAAGCCGGCCTGGGAGGGAGCAGGATCACGCGGCCGTATCTGACAGGGGATGGGATTGCAGGACACGGCAGAGCAGCGTTTGAAAGAGCTGCTCTGCCTTGCCCCGGGCCTGCAGCCACTCCAGGCTGAGCTCTGGCTTCCCCTGGGGGAGAGAAGTTGTTCTCAGAATGCTCTTTGCTTTGAGAAAGCCTCGGAAGGAGCAGTCGAGTGCAGCAGGAAAATACACCTGTGCCGCGTTTCCCTCCGCCTTTGACCACTGGTATTACCAGCTGCCAATTAAGGGGATGCTGGGACAGGTGCGGGTGCCGGCAACACGATTTCCATCTCCCCAGAGTTAAGGCACTTGCAGCTCAGGAAAAACCCAGATTCCTGGGGGCACAGAGGACCTGTAGGCAAGAATCGGGTGAGCTAGCTTCCCATTACGGTTTTGCAGTTACAAGTTTTATTTCAAAAGACACACACGGCACATTCATATCCTGAACACTCGAGGGGCAGCCTTGCCAGAGCAAAAATGTATTCTTGCCCTGTTCATCTCCCACCAGACGGGTACACCGCCGAGCACAGGTATCAGAAGGGAATGGGCAGCCGGGTCCGAACGACATCTCGACACCACAAGCAGGGTTTTCTTGCCAGAGGGGCTCGTGTGTTAATGGGACGGAGAGCAAGATTGTTTCTGTTTCTGTTTTTTAACTTCCAGAACCGCACGCTACACCCGATGGAACACGCTGTCACGGCCCACTATGGATGGGTGTCAGCTCCAGACGTCCCTGTGCAGACTGTCAAAGCTTTGACTACCCCGCTGTCAGCATCAGCCCACCTGCCTTCGGCTTAGCCAGCTTTGCTTATTCATATTCATGGCCCAGCCGCGTCCACCGCACAGCTGACACCGCCCAGCCTCTGGGCCGCCGCAGCTAGGGGACTGCTGAGACCCGACCACCCGGGAAGGGGGCTGGAACAGACGGTGGTCTGTGAGCTACATCAGGGCGGTGCTTGCTGGGATGCGGCTTGCTTCCTTTTTTGGATCCCGTCCAGGTTTTGGCCTCAGCCAAGTTGGAAATCAAAAGGAAGCACCCACCTAAGCCATCCTACTGCTAACAACTCATTAGAATATTCCTCACGCCTTCTTAGTATTCTGCTCTTTCGGGCTCGAGGAGAAGACAGGGCAGGGGGTTGGAAGCAGCAGCGGGGAGGGTCCACGGAGAAGCCCCTTCCAGGATGCCCTGGCCCCTTCACCGCCGGCCAAAGCGGAAGCTGAAGCCGCCTTTCTTCCTGCTGTAACCGCTGAGCTCCTCAGCCAGGGTCCCCAATGGGCCGCTAGCCTTGTCGCCATCCGCCAGGAGGAAGCCGGTCGCCTCGCTGCCGTCATCCTGCCTCCCAAACCGGACCCTGAAGCCAGCACGCTGCCTGCCGGACGTCTGCAGCTCCTTGGCCGTGACAAGCAGGCCCAGTGGGTGCGGAGCTCTCGGCCGCCGGGGGGAGCCCCGTGGGAGGGAGACTCGGTGTCCCCCGGGCAGGTGGGCCCAGCCCATTTCGCCTCTGACGCCACCCGCGGCGGCCTCTTCTGTGCCCAGCAGAAGAAAGCAGGCGCCCAGCGGCAGGAGGAGCAGGCAGTAAGGGCTTATCATCTGGCCCGGAGGAAAGAGAGGAACAAGTTACAGGCTGCACGCGTGGGCCTTGCATGACAACTTGTCAAGTGCTTCCCAGGGCCCGGGCAGCCATCAAAGGCTGGGAGATCAGCTGAGCCCAACTTGCAGGCAGCTTGAGGAAGTGTCACTATGCTGGGGGAGCAGGCCTTTATTTTCTTAGCAGGCTCAGGAGCTGATTGTACCAATTAGGCTGAGTCTCCTCTCCCGTGGTCCCCTGGATCTGACGGCCTTGGCAGCTTAGCATTCGGATAACCCCCCACTGCTGGGACGGCATACAGCCGGGCGGAGGGGGGGGTGCCCGTAGCCCCCGAGTGCTGCACAAACTTGGGCTCGGTCTCCTTTTATTACAATTAAAAAAAAATTTTTTTTTAACGTTTGTTCATTTTTGAGAGACAGAGTATGAGTGGGGAAGGGGCAGAGAGAGAAAGGGGGACACAGAATCTGAAGCAGGCTCCAGGCTCTGAGCTGTCAGCACTTGGCCCGATGCGGGGCTCGAACTCACAAACTGCGAGATCATGACCTGAGCTGAAGTCGGACACTCAACCGACTGAGCCATCCAGGAGCCCCGAATAATCACTGACTCTTGGGCCACATCATCTCAGAGCCACAAGGTAGGGAATGAATAACATCGATCTGTCTTAGTCTTCAACTCGATACTAAATGGGCGTAGCTAAGCCGCGTAGCTGGGACACCTAATGTCTCTTTACCACGGAAACGAATTGCTCCCTGAAGCTGGAATGGATTTGATGTTCCTGGCCTAACATGCCCACCTGGGGAGAAGCATGTGGACGTGGCCGGGCTGTCAGTGATCCCTACAGAGCACCACCCACGTGCCAGGCCCTGAGCTAAAACCTGTGAGCCCCGCCCGTGTGACCTTGGCAGACTGTCCTCACAGTAAGCATGTTTTCAGCCGAGAAGACTGTCAAGAAGGCTAAGAGACTGGACCACAACTAGAAAGTGGAGGCCCTGAGATTCATGATTCTAATGGCCGGACAGCTTGGCGCACCGGGTGTGTGGGCAGTGCTTTGTGGCCCTGTCCATCCGGTGCCGCCCTCACGTCCCTCCCGCAGGAGGGTCTCACTCCCTTTGACAGAGGGGGCCGTGCTCAAGCAGGTGACGTGCCCAAGACGTCACGGCTTTATAAGTGACAGAGCCGGGATTCAAGCCCAGGTCTAAGTGACTCAGAGCCACTACTCTACCCCATGGATGGCAGTCCATGGGGGGATTTGAAACAGAAATAGAGCTTCCCAAAATGCCCCTGCTTCGACAGCAATTGCTCATTCCCTCCTAAAGGAAGCCTTTCTGGTAATGACCATGGTGAGTCGGAGCTGGCTGGTCCTCTGAGGAGAGCTGAGGCTGGAAAAAAGAGCCGGTTCTGGAGAAGAGGCACGGGCTCCCCAGAGCTCTTTCCAGAAATGGCTCCCTTGAAGACATTTCAAAGGGAACTCAGCCAGAAAGCTTTGAAAAAGTCATAAAAGCAGCCTCCTCTCTACCCAAATCCAGCCCTCCTAACTTCTATCATCTCCTCCCCCGGAGCTGAAGTCAAGTCTCGCCTGCTTCGGGAAAGCCTCTCCATCAGGGCCTGGGCGGAGTGGGGGGCTTTCCACAAGGCAGCCGGCAGCCCTGTGGGCCGGGCAGGATCCCATCTGGGGGACGACTCTGCCGGGAGATGGCCTCTGGGTCTCGAGAAAGGGTGCGTCGATGCCTAGAAGGAAGTGGCTTCTCTCCCCTCGTCGGGGGGGGGGGGGGGGGGGGCAGGTCATGGAACGCTTCGAGAACAGGGGTGGTGGAAGTTGGGACATCCGCCACCGAAAATGGGCCCCAGCACGAGTCGGGACTTCAGTCCCCGACGTTGAGGACGAGGCAGAAAAAGCACCCGGGGGAGACGGAGGCTGAGCCCCGGAGGGCAGCCGTGGCCAATCTCTGGGCCGCGAGAGTAGGTGTTTGGTCACCACCTCCCTGACCTGGAGGAGGGGTCCAGCGAGCAGGGTTCCCTCTAGGGATGGTGTGGCTGTACTCACCGTGCTGCGGGCCTGCTCCCCAGGAGGGCTGCTGGGCAGGGCGCCTCCAGGCTCCTGTCTGGGAGGTGCGGCTCCGGGCTTCTCCTGCTTTATATAGGCCCCCGGGGTAGATTTGCCATCCTGTGGTCTGATTGCCACACATTCCTGACCCTGGGATTCCATTGGGGACGCTGGTGGCGAAGGAGGGGGCAGTGCTGCCGGCCTCCATAAAAGACCCAACACAAACAGGATGTGGTCTGATGACGGGAGCCGAGGGGGCTGCCCTTTGCCCGGGCCTGGTCTCCAGCGGAGCAGCCAGCATCGTTAGCCAGCCATCGCGGGCACAGACCCTCGAGTCCCTCGGGAGAGGTGTGAGTGGCACACCCACCCTTACCCTTCACGGTCCTGCGTTTGTCGCGTCTGCCTCACTCTTCGGAGAAGCAGGGTCGGGGGGGGGGGCGGTGTCCACCCCTCGCCCACCCACGCCCGACCCGCACAGCCGCTCCCGTGGGCGGTCAGGCGGGCAGCTGTGTTGGGTGGCGTGGCCGTGGGCCTCACGAGGGAGGGCTGCTTCCTACGAGGGGGAATGCGGAAGGGGTTCGGAGCCCCCTGGCCCGTGTCCCCTGTACCACAGTCCATTTGTTCCTGAGAAGGGAAGCTGAGTGGGGCCGCCCGGTTCAGCGTCTGACTCTCGATCTCGGTCCCGTGGGGTCCCATGCTGGTGTGGAGCCCGCTTAAGGGAAAAAAAAGGAAGCTCGGTGTTTCCCACAACCCCAGCGCCCAGCTCAGGGCCCGACTCCCATTCGGGGAAAGACGGAACCACCAGCAAAGGTTTTCAAAACGCGCTGGCTGTCTGCTGGGTGGCTGGCAGGGCCTCGCTTTCTGAGCCTCAGCGGAGAGTGGCCATGGTGACAGGGCTCGGCGGTGAGGCCCTTAGCCCAGTGTGGGGCTCGGCAAGGGCTGGGGAGGGTCGTCAAGGTCATGGCAGCGGCTCTCTGCACCACCGGCACCCACAGTGGGGGACATGGCGTCCGTCACTCCCCGGGCGCTGGTTCCCGGGCGGTTCCTCCCCAGGTGGGCTCACAGATCAGTGCGGGGAGCGTCCCACGTCGTCACCTGCACGTCCCCATGGCGGAGCGTGGGGTCGGGGGGGTGCTGCGTTGCGGGCCACGTGTTTCTGCAGGATCCCTCTGGTCCGGGCATGGCCACTGACTGGACACCTCGCTCACGACTTGGGGTGCTCACCCCACGGCTGTTCGCTCTGCCTGCGCTGCGTCTGATCACAGAGCGACCCCGGGGTCTGCTTCAGGAGCGAGGGTCGGCTCGGCTAAGCCGAGATGCGGTTCCCGGTCGGGCGGAGAGCGCTACAGTGTTCTCCGGACATTGGCCAAGGTGGGAGGCAGGCGCCCGCCACAGGGGGCGCACCTGCCTGTGGGCACCGGCACTCTGACTGGTCCAGCATCCTGCAGCCCCAGGAGCCCACGTCCCCACGCCTGGTGACCCAGCACTGTGTCTTCGGAGCACCTGTGGGGAGACCAGCAGGGGGTGTGAAGGGCCCAGCCAGGCCCCCAGCCTCTACTCCTCTCTTGGCCTAGATTTCCCCTCCACTGAGAGTGAGCAGGGCGATGAGGGAAGCAGGTGCCGGGTGAGGCTAGGCCGCCCTGCCGTTGTCCCGAGCCGGCTGCTCCGGCAAGGCTGGGGACCAAGCACAAATGCGTTCCCCCAGGCTCCGGGGCCCTCACCCCCGCTGACCTCCGTCACCTTTGCCTGTGGGTGCTGGGGGGTGTGGAGAGCCACCCCGCCATTCACACGGGGAATAGAGACGGCCTCATGGACACTTACTGTCCCCCATCAACCTGAGGAAGGGGCTAGAATACTGCCCCTCTGCAGGGGGAGAGGGGAGTCTGAGGCTCAGAGGGTCAGAGCACTTGGCCTTGCGGGAGCAGGCCCAACCCCCATCCTCCGCTGTCTGCAGCCCCATCTGCAGCGGGAAGTCTTGGTTCCCCCCTGTCTTGTCTGGAGAGAACAGGGTCAAGAAAGAGCCGTGTGGATTGACTTTGGGCTTCTCCATGGGCAGGTGCAGGGGGCGGGTGCATTCGTGTGCCGACGGGAGCAGGTGCAGAGCTGGCTTCCATCCCCTGAGGGGCTGGTGTGTGCGTGGGAGACCAGAGGAGCGGTGTCATTTGATCTCCCTACTTAGTGCTGGTTGGTTGTGACCTTGGGTGCTGCTTAGTGATGGGGTGCGGCCCGCGGTGGGTCCCTACCATGCTGTGAGGCCTGGGCCAGATGCTTGCCTCCTCTGTGCCTCAGTTCTTGTGGGTGTAAAAAGACAGGTTTGGGTTCCCAAGCTGCGCTCTGTGAAATTTCTCAGCTGGGGGGTGTAGGGAGGGCAGGGGTGGGGTCAAACCCCAGGGCCACCCCATTCCCGCCCGGAGAAAATCTCCACTTGGCTGTCTGACAGGCCGAACTCCAAGAAGAGGTTCTGCTGTGAGGCCCGCCATGACCCAGGTCCCTTCAAGGCTGGTGCCCGCAGCTCTGAAAAGAGGCCACAGGAAGTCCCGAGTGTTGGGGCTTGGGGTGGGGGTGAGGTTGGGGGTGAGTAGGAGGAGGTCCCCAGGTGTCCCCCTGAGAACAGCCGGCCCGAAAGATTGCTTTCAAGTACTCTTCCTGGACTCCCTCCAGGGGATGGGCAATGGGAGAGGTGATGACCTCTGGGCCTCCAGAGCAGCAGATCGACAGGCTCTGGGCTGTGGGAAGGTCAAGGACGGCTCAGGCTGTCAGCCAGAGAGCAGTAGGCTCCGTTCGGCTTCCTGGAACAGAGGCTTTTCACGGGGTCAGGGTAAAATGGGAGAGAGGTTTCAGGGGGTCCTGCTTTCTTCCACCAGGACTGAGGTTCCCCGGGAAACCTCCCTAGAACATCAGGGCCAAGTCCCAGGATGGCCAAGCTCACAGCAGCCTCAGTTCCTTAAGACACCCCTG